GAGAGAGAGAGAGAGAGAGAGAGAGAGAGAGAGAGAGAGAGAGAGGGAGAGAAGGAGAAGACGAAAGTGTCCTACCTTGTGCTGCAATGGTAGAAAGCGTTGATCTTGGCCAACGACTCTTCAAGATACTATAGATCGGAAGACGCGTGCTGCTTTTTGCTGTCCATTGAAGCACTCTACAACACTATCGATACCATACGGTGCAAAAATTGCAACGATCCAACTTTAATGTCATATTCTAATATGGTTCATCTTCATGACACATTTCTAAATGGCACGATTTACTTGGATTATCCGCGTGTAAGAATCGATCAAAATTGTTCCACCATTTTCGAACGAAGTAGATCACTGTCCGATTATCGTATCACTTAAAAATTTGTAGGAATTTACGTCGGTTGACACGATAATAACGCGGGCATGCAGCGAATACAGTGTTAACGTAAACAATAATAACTAGGTAACATTTGGCTTAAACGAAGACTCGGTCAAGAGTGACGAGTCGACTCTTGCCCTCGCGGGATCATTCTTTTTCTACGATCCCCACCACTCCAGGATCGTTGGTATTTTCCCTGAACGACTTCCCAAGAAAAACACGGCTTCGCTTGCAGCCCTTATCTTTCGTCGCCATAACTGCAACCCATCCGTTGCGCTATCGGCGCTGAGTTTCGAGAATCTCGCTCTGTCGCTCTTCCTCGTTGCTCGACAATCCTTGCTCCAGGATCACTTGAAATTCCAGGGTCGAGGGAGAAAGTTTTTCCCTTTGTATCCATTTTCTGTGTTGTTTCTTAGAGATTCATCTTCATACGTTTCATCAATTGTACCGACGGTTCACGAACGAGAATGGCAAAGTTCTTCGTGAGATCTGAGGTAAAATCTTTCTGTTCGCACAAAACGATTGTACTGTTGATGATCGTGGGAACACCGATAAAGAATCTGCTTTTTGCAACAGCTCCATTTTCCTACATAAGTAGGAAAATAATCTCGAAATATCGTAAGTATTTGACAATAGCGAACGTGGGGCAGGAATGGCCGGCTCAAGAACGCGTTAAAACACGAAATTAGAAGCAAGTGAGAACGAGGACGGGCACAATGCTCGTGGAATTATTACGAATATTACGCGATTCATTATGCCGAAGTAATTACGCGTGAGGGAAGCCCGCTCGTTTCCTCCGCGAGGGAAAGCGAAATAATGGCGAGTCGAGCGAGGGTCGCAAGAATTTTTCTTGGATTTCACGCTCGGCAACGCGCATCTGTCCTTTTTTGTTATCATCGTTCGAGGAACGAGTGTCTCCTGCATTATTTCATCCTGAATGAGATAGAAAGGGGTGTCACCCCGGTGTTCGGTTTCATTCTTCATCTCGCGACGCGAGTATTCCACGTCGGTCCCGTAATAATACGTTTCTTCGAAAAAAGCTCGGTCTTTTTCTTACCGACAAGTCGCGGTGATTTGCGACAAGTGGCGTTAAAGAACGAGCTGGATTCGGAATCGATCATTCGTTTTTTATGAGGTGAAAACGAAGCTCGGGCCGATCGTGTATCGCGAGTATTTTGAGAGAGAGTCAAAGAGAGATCTCGTCGGCTGGAAAAGCCGATGATGCTAAAGCCGATTCGTGAGACACTCGTCCGGATCGAATATTTTTCAGAGAAACTCAATTTCCCGTGGCTGATGCCTTCTCTCCTCGAGACCCTATTCTCTCCACCTCGTATCGGCGAGCCAGCCAAAGGAAAGTGATTAACGGTGTCGTTATCCAGAGATTGTTTCCGCGTGTCTCGCGTAATGTCGTCTAATCATCCGTGTAACGAGATCGTACACTTCTCTCTTCCGCTGCTCCTCCTCTTCGCCGGGTATCTATCTTGTTCTGTCTCGCCGTTCTTCCTCGTCCAATTAACGAGAAGAGAGAGAGAGAGAAATAGAGGGAAATCGTTCCTGGCGAAAAAGTCATCCGCGACAATCAGAATCGTTTCTCCATGGATATCGGCCGAACTCTGCTCCTCCGCTCTCTCTCTCTGCTCGCCTCTCGTTCCATCTCCACGTGTTTCTCTTTCCCGTCGATTCCGTTCAATTAAATCCGCCAGCCAATTCCAGCCACGAGTGGCATCGGCACTCGACTTGTATCGGTTTCAGCCAATTACTTCCTGCCGGGGCTCGCGGATCGCTGTTTCTGGCCACGTGCCCATTGTCACGCGTGAATTCGCATACTCGGCCCGCACTCGTTACTATCGTTGTCCGGCCGGACCGAAAATCCTCTTCTTCTTTCGTGTTGCCTCTATTCTACTCGATCGGTTGGCGCTGCATTAAAATGATTTTAGTCTACTTCGTTAAAAGAAAAAGAAAAATGGCACGCAAACATCCTCCGAGACTGGGGTTGCCGATCTCATTTTGACTTTGTTCTGCTATTGGAAGGATTCTTTGCGGTAATCAAACAAACGCTGTTTGTCTCTGCTCGATAATAATTTATTTATCTACAAGAATTGTTTCGGTTTGACGCGGAAGGTCGCCGACTAGCCGGAGAAGATGATTATCAGCGGTGAGCGTGAATCAACTAGATCCTCTAAACGAAAATCTGTTCCTGACCTTATTCTCCTGATTACGGTTACCTAAGACTCTATTACACAGCTACGAACATCTCTCAATCTCTCCCTCTCTCTTTTCCTTTCTCTCTCTCTCTCTCTCTCTCTCTCTCAACCTCAATCTCTCTCTCGCTACCAGCTCAGCTAGACTGCGCGTTATTAACCATCTCGTTCCGGTACGTCCGTCCCCTTTGGAATCGGGAACAAACAGAGCTACGACTACCCAGTAGTACTCAGGCGAACCTTTTAATTACATATGTACACTGTCTCGCATGCAGCAAACAAACACGTGCGATGCGGATCACCGAGAATCCGTCTTACGTTCCCGACGCAACCGTTGTCTTTACGCGCACTACACCATTGTACGACGGGCGGCCGGAAGCGGCTCCTTTGCACCGGAACCGGAAGAATGCGTCGAGCGTTAACGAGGCGATTCTCGCGATGAGTTCGGTGCAAAGATCCATGCACCGACGACCCGCGATATCCAAGAATGACCGTCGAGGTTCCGGAAACGTTTCCCGGCGAGAACGATCCTGGAGCCGTTGGCGCGCGGGTTAAAGGGGGCATCCGTGGACGTAGGTGACATTTCTGAAGAGAGCCGCCGCCGTCGACAGGAACGCGGCTGTCGATGCGGAAGAAGGTGCCGGAGGCGGCGGTGGCGGAGGCGGATGACTCTGCGTCTGTGTCTGAGCATTGTACGGTGGACAATAGGCGTCTATGCTGCCATGGTGAAGACCCACGCCGCGGACCAGCAGCTCCTTCTCCACCGTCGCTTGATGTCGGAGCTGCTCCAATCGCAGTTGGTTCTGTCGCTTCCACTTGGTCCTACAAGCAAACCAATTTCGATTAGATTCGTCCCAGTTGCAGAGATCGGCAGGCAAAGGGACAGGAGAATGACCTTCTATTCTGGTACCAGGTCTTCACTTGCGTCTCCGACAGCGACAAAGCGTCGGCGACGTCGCTGCGGTCCGCCACGCTCAGATACTTCTGACAACGGAACTTCCGCTCCAGGTAGGCCAGCTGAGCGTGGGTGAACGCTGTTCGCCTTCTTCTGGGCTTCCTCCCGCTGGGAGGACTGGTGGTCGTTCCGCAGTTCTTGCCGGAAGTAGCTGCCGCTGGCGACGGCGACAACGCCGGCGGAGGACTCTCCAGACGAGTACAGGGACTGCTGCCAGGGTCTATCGTGTCCTCCGAGTCCGAGTGCACGGCAGAATCGTCCTCCGAGTCACCTGTGCATCAAGGTCAATAAATTTTAGCCGAATAGAACCATCGTTCGGTCTCCAAAGGTTTTACCGACAGATTTTGCTGTAAACTTTTGCTTATCGAAGCGCTAGGCCTTTACAACAACGACACTTTTAAACGAGAATGCTATTTCACGCGTGCAGAGCGATCTAAAGCAACGAGACTTCGACGCCACAGTAACGCGCGAGAAAATCCAATTTCGCAGAGGGGGTCGATCAGTCGATTCTCCCGTCAAAGTCGATTATCCGAACAATGCGAACGTGTGTACGTCGCGGATCACAATCGTCCCTGGTCGATGGTAAACGGTCTCAATTATGGGAACGCTTGTCCCGGAGGCCGAGCGGCCAATAAAGGCTACCGGGCTCAGCGAGAGACGATAATCGCGCGACGATAGCTCGAGACCTAACGAGACCTAACGAATCCTTCCGCAGCTCGGGCCATCTGTAGAATCGTCGTTAATGGGGCAGCACCCCGTCAACATCGTCTACGCGCCCCCGGGGTTGCAATCGTGGCCAAAGATAATAGAAGCGCGCCGCGGGGCACCCCGTAACGAGGATCCTAGCTGGCGGCCACGCGACGGCTTCCAATCAAACTTCCTTCATTCTCATTGGAATCGACGTTCGTGATCCGTCGACGGAAAACAGTCCCTGCCTTTCAAAGTATCGAACTATCCGCGTTCAATGAAACTTCGGTAAAGATAAACGACACCGGAGCGGAGAATCGTCCGAAACTATCCGCGTTTAACAAAAATTCGCGTAAGAAGACTTGGCACCACGTGAGACTTACCGTGCACCCTCTCGGACAGGACGTCCCCCAAGAGGTCCCGTATGAGGAACGACTTGTGCTCCTGCATCATGGTACTCCTTGGTCGCGGAAGAATCCAACGAACGAACAACCGGGAACGAGAGAGAGAGGTTCGCTCAGTGAAGAGAATTCGCGCGGACCGATCGAGCGGACGATGTCAGTCGGCGCGGGAACACCTTGTCAGCGAACGCGAGTATCATGCTAACGTGCGGACGCGCGGCGTCGTTCTGCGTCGTCGAGGACCGCGGAGGATGACCGGATGTGGCTGTTCGACCCTGGCACTCTCGTCCTCGTCGTCGACGTCCTCCTCCGTCGCGACGGGCGCACGTTGCCGAGCTGGAGCTGATGCTGGAGGTGGAAGCGTTGCCACGCGAGTCGGGCCGGGGGGTTGCAGTCCTCCCTCTCGTCGCCCCGCTCCAATTAATCCGCCCGTTTATTTTGAACGGGCTGCCTAATGCCCGCGCGAATTCGCAGCCATTTTGGGGGTGGAAACGCTGCCACCACGCCATCCCTACCTACGCGCCGTGACCGTTCATTCATTGGTCGCGTTAACACGGCAACGCAGGGGTGGAGAGCAGGCTGGCACGGTCCCGATTGGTCGCTGAGAACCGGCCTGCGCAAAAGGGGCAGTGTCTTACTACTTCGTGGCTGAAAGTCGCTGCCGAGGGAGACACCGAGGCAAAATATTTCGGTGCACGCTCCGAGAGGCGCACAGCCTGCGGAAAGCAACGAGCTTCGGGATTGCGGTGGCTGTTGGGGATGCCGAGGGGGTGGGGAGAGAGTCGAGGCTGCAACGGGGAAGTCATTGGCGAGCGATTACCGCGAAACGAGAGGAACAAATTGGATGTGAAACGTTTCTCCGGGTATAGTCGCTGGCCGCAATATCGAGATTGTTCTCTCCCGCTCGGAACCACCCCCGCTCAGAGTGGGTGGCTTTAACGGCTCGCGGATTCTCCTCGGTTCTCAGCGCCCGTTTTCCGGTCTGTTTTTCCACGGCGCGGCGAATTAGGCGCGCGAAATGTCGTGCACGCCCCGAATGCCACCGCGGACGCGATTTTTTCGGTCGCAGGCCGACTGCGACCCGATGCTCGTTTCGTCTATTTTTTACCGGGCTTTTTTTCAGCTTTCCGGAGGAGTAGGATGCGCGGATTTGAAAGAGCCCCGGCCAGACTCTAACGAAGTCAATTTGCGGGCGGGTTGCGTCGGGAAAGTGGTGCGGGGGCGAGCACCGCGAGCGAGTATTTGCATAAATACGGTCCTCGCAATTTGCCGAGCCCTCGCCGAGAGCCCGCGAGCGGCCCGTCATCTTCCGCGCGGCTAGTATGTGAGCGTAAATATGCATGACGCATGGAAACCACCAATCCTCGACACCGCCGCCTCCATCCCCCTTTTCAACCCGTTTTCTCCGTTCCCGGGTCTCGCGAGAGCGCCCCGTTAGTCTATTCACCTCGTCGCTACTTATCTTCCGGGAGCATTCGCGCGACTCTATGGCCCCCTTTGCCCCCGCATCCCGTGCATGCGCTGCGCTGCCTTCAATACCTAAACATTTCCCGTTCCATGAAAATCATCCGCGCCGAGGCGATCCGGAACGGTGATGGATCCGCGGTACAGTTCGCCGACCTCGCAGCTTCTTTTCCCGAGTGTTGCTTAATTAACGGGCGCCTGAAATCATTCGTCGATCCTTTTTAAAGCTGCGCGACCAAACGACCCCCGTGGTCCTCCAAGGACGCACCGCAATTCTACCGGCAACCAATGCTTAAAGCTTGAAGCATTGTCCCGCAACGACTGCAACGTCCGCGATTCCTCGAATAGCTGACGCGCTATGGCACCGGTTACTTTGCCTTTACCATCACCGAAATTCATTGCGTCGTTGCATACGAATGCTTCGAGCTTACTTCAAAGGCTTAATTTTCGCGTAACGGCACGTGGATCCATTTGGACGCAAAGTTACAAATGTTACATCTATATTGTAATTTTACAAGCAGTCAGATCCAATTCGATAGCTGTGTATATTAGATCAGATAAAAAGACCAACGCTGATTTAAAATTACAGCACAAAGATATGAATGGATCTCTATAGCTAAGGCTATCATAAAATCGTCAAATGCATTCGTCATGCGAAGATTAATTCATGCAAGGGTTGACAAAGTCGCGCAATTAAAAATAAAAGTCTGCCGAATCGCGGAGTCGTTGTAATCTGAGAATTCATGGGCACGACCGAACCAGGGATAACAAAGGCGTGTTTGGGTAAATGCAACAAGGGGGCCCTGCGATGCATTTTTCGGCAACGTGAGGTCGCGTGGCGTCGCATAAAATTTGCTGAACCTCGCGTGAATGCGCGAGAAAAAGGAGGAACGAGCTGCCGTGTGTTCTCTTCGTAGGATGGTATTTTAATGGCCTCGAGTTTGCGTGCTGGCACCTGTAACGCGGAACCCCTCGTTCGAAGTCGAGTCGAGTCGAGTCGGACACGGCTCGGCGCGGTGGCGCGCGTTCGTGAATTCATTAGGATTAACGTATGCAGGGGATTAATTCAAGGGGCAGCAAAGCGGCCGGGCGTCTTCTTCGTGCTCGCTGAAAAAGGGCCTCGGTGCCGCGCAAATGGCGGAATAAATGCATGAAGACGGGATAAATTGAGTGGCGCCGAGCTGCGAAAACAAAGACGCCCGGTCGTGCCCTGGACGACCAGAAGAGAGAGACGATTTTCGGCTCGCCCCCCCCCCTCCTGTTCGTTATTCCGCGTCCGATCCAATTAGGATAAGGGTTGCCCCTTGTCGTCGATACCTTCTTGAAGGTGTTAATTTGCCGACACACGACGCCGGGGACTGTCATTCGAAAATAGAGGCTCGTTCCCTCAAACCGATGATAGGTGATGTCTACGCAATTCTCGGAACCTGAAAACAAATAGAAGATTTAATTCCGATACAAAATTAGCCGTAGATATTATAACAAAACTTGCAACAAATAAATGGTCTTAGATATATAAGTCTAGTCTAATAATAGTCTAATCGCCTAGAAGAAATTTTGTCTTCGTTTACAACATGTTTGTTCGAAGACGACTCACTTTGGTTTTCGGACCGCATCTGTCACGATTAGACGGTAGCGAATCAATGGAAATTAGGGGGGCGTGGGCTGGGCGTGAATTGCCTGGAAATTATCCCCCTCGGCCGCCGATTGTTATCGGTAATTTGTGATATTCGCTCCCCCGTGGGATACGAAATTTCATCTCGATACAGCCACCCACGGGCAAGCGATGGACAAATGGGATTTGGCTCGGAGTGAATCTTTTCGCTTTAACGTAGAGGGGAACCGATCGCGGATTAGCGACGGAAACGCGTTCAATTACACATACCCCTCGAGCATCGAGATTGCTTAAACAAATAACGCCTAATTGCTGGATAGACGTCGCTCGAGATTCAACATGATCTATAAAAAGCCTATTAAAAAGAATTAGTCATTATGTGATCGTAGACTCACATCTGTATATTCGAAAAACAATACTTACGACAAACTTTTCATTGAATTCATGATGATTGCCTTCCTTCGACGGTTATCTAGCAGTAGTGTTGAAGATAATTCGTGGCTGTTGGACAACAGGCAGCGTCGTGAAATTCGTCAAGCAAAAGATAAACAAAAAAAATGCTTGGCATTCAAGCGGAAAAAAGAGTCAATTACGTTTCCGAAATTCTCAGGTAACCCGATGTGCGATAACAATGATGGTAAATGAGGTCCAGCTTGGAGAAATGTCAGCTAGTCTTGAATCTCTGGCGGTGAAGGATACACTTGAGTGTAAAGAAGTAGTGCAAGTCAATGATAGCGCCTGCAGTTGCAATTACATTTGTTATTATCAGCCTTTTCGTACCATGTAATTTGAAAAAGCGTAGAATCACATAGAATACATTACCAGATCATAATTTTTAGCAAAAGTTTCACTGTCGACTGCTCTGCATAAATTATTTTATCCAACATCAGTGAGAACCAACAGACCCTCGCAGTCTCTTCTCACTCGGTGAGTATTCTCACGTCGATTAATCTCAGGTGTAAAACGTGACATGAGGGAAGGAAGGAACGAAACACTGCAGTTATTTAGACAAAAAGTACAATGTTTTTCTCTCTTTAGAGAGAACCGGTGGCCAGACGAGCCCCCGAAACGTTCTCGAGTCTGAATGATTATCGATAATAGAGTCTCGCAGTCGTCGATCGAGCCGAATTGCTAAATACGGTTTAAAAAAGCAAGGAAAAGGAAAAAAGAACAAGAGGAAAAGAAAAACAGTGAAGTGGATATCACGGTGGAGCGATTTAGAACAGAACGCCGAGTGACAGAGAGGAGGTAGGGGTACCAGGGGATTGGTGGTGGTGGAGGCGTGGATGCTGGAGGAGGATTGATCGAAACCGCGATGCCACGAGGGCTTCGAAATCGTTAACAATCGCGGCAAAAGCAAAGTCCATTGAGGTGCGACCACGCGTGTGAATATAACTGTCGAGGCTGAATATTCTGCTTGCGGAACAGCGTCGTCCGGTGCGAGAACAACCCCTGAGAGTGGGTTGGAAGGTCTATTCGTTTATTCCCCGTTGGGGGGAAAAAGAAGTGCGAACGAAAAGAACGGCTCTGTTTACAGCAACTAACAATCCACCATTCCGGATATCATCGGTTTCTGTTTCTCTCTCTCTCTCTTCTCTCCTTCCTTATCAAGTTGGTCGCCATTGGAATTCTTTAGTCTCGGGTCCGGCATTGTTTCCCGTTCGCTCGAAAGCGTCGCCTTATATCTACTCCGCTTTTTCCTTTTCTCGAATCAAAGCGTACAAAGTCATTCGCGGCAATGTTTTTCCTTCTCGAGGGGAAAATCGCGATCCCGCGAATAAAGGGAGAGATGAAAGACACGAGAGAAGAGGGTATATCGTCTGTGTTCAGTCCATTGCTACGGGTCCACGAGTTAAACAGAGCAAAAGATCTTCGGTATACACGTGCCTCGTTTCACGTTGAATATGCTCCGGCATTCATTTAGACTTCCTTGTCAGCCGTTCCTCGCCGTTTCTATACTTTGTTCCGCCTCTGTACCACCCCGCACCGGTATTCTTCAGTTAACGACCATGTCTTCGGGGAAACATCGAGGCGCGACGTCTCGCACGGACTGCGGAAAAATACATTGCAATGCCGTCGATTTACCCGTGTTTTTCTGCGTGGAATGCTGCAGAGAATACGCTCTTTCTTTCTAAAGACGATCCTCTTCGCGTTTTTGAGCTCGATCGGCGCGTAGGAATTCACATTCTCTTTCCGTTTCTGTTCCTGGAGAAATATTTTCGTTTAGATCATGCCGAATAGACTACTCTTAGGTAGCTAATGAAGAAACGAATGAAAGATAGGACCTTCTGGTAGGCAGAAATTCGCACCGATCTGTTCTCCAGTTCCTGCAAAAGAATTTTCATTTAGATCAAGTCGAATACACGAATATTGAATGGCTAAAAGCATCGAAGGAACAAACGAAAGATGATACCTAAGGGTAGGATTCGGGTAGGGATGAATTTGCAATTTCCTTTCGGTAGAGTTCCGTTTTCGGTCCGCCAGAA